ACATAAATTAAAAATATTTTATTAATTAATAATTAATAATTATTTTTATTAATTAAATTAAATTAAATTAATACTTTTAAAAATTATATATTATTATTTGTGTTAACCTTAACCTCTTGAGTTGCTGCTATAACCCGCCGACCGTGAGATGGAAGCAAAATTGGGCAATGTCCTAGAGTCAGTCAACATAGGTGATGTACCACCCCACGTCCATCCAGATGTTGACAAATGATTTTTTTGTCAGAAAGTCGGCAGGTGTATTTTTTTTTTTTTTTTCTAAACAAAGTACAATTGTTTTTTTCTTTTCTTTTTTTCTGAGAAATAATTGAGAAAGTGAGATATTTTTTAAGTAGTCAATCAGAATCAAAATTATAATTAATTGAATTTAAATATTAATACTTAAGAATAAATTATTAGACACCAAAGTTCAGTTTAAATAAAGTACAATTGTTGGGGAAATGGGGAGGGAAAAATTGAATCCACAAACCAGCACACTAGGCTGGAAAGCATGCATGCACATGCACCTGGCTAGAGCTAATTGTTAGGTATTGAAGGATTTTAGAGTTTTTATAATACTTATTATATAGATTAAAGTATATTTTTTTTATATTTTTTATTATTAATTTATAAAAAAATAAAAACATTAATTACTATCATATGAATAATTTAATGTTACCACAGATTTACCATTATCCATTAGCTATTATTAAAGCATAAGTTTTCTTGAATATAGTTATTAATCCTAGCTAGATTCATTAACATAGTTTTAGACTGAGTAACGTTACTTTTTTAAGATCTCCCACATTATTTTTTATTAATTTATAATATTTTTTTATTTTAATTACATAATAAAAAATAATTATTTTTTATTTTACCCCACTCATATATCATACTTATTTTTAACAAAATAAAATAATTATTAAGTTATTTAAATCGTTGATAATAATTTACAATATATTAATATTATTACATTTCTGGGACAATTAGAGATAAGTCGAAACTTAATGTCGCCATTGTCTGCTTTCGTGTCTTGTTGAATTAAAACATGAAATAAGAATACTCTTTTAATAATTCATTCTTGGCTTCTGTTTTGTTGGATTAAACGCAGGCCAGTCATATATCATTGGCCAAGTCTCATCGAAAAACAGTATCTCCCTAAAATACGAAAGCTTCCTTCTCTTTAAAAGTACACGAACATTAATATTAATTTTTTTTTTAAAAAGGACATTCACATCTCCGTGTATCGTGGAATTTTTCGACTCCTAATACGTACTCCATCTTTCTCTCATAAAAATAAAAGTTCTTATGTTTTTATTTTAAATTTAAAATTTTAGAGATAAGAGATAATTATAAAATATAAAGTTAAAGGAAATTTTTTTAAAAAATATATAAAAATAATTATTATTTTTAAAAAATTATAAATCAAAAAATATTTATTATTTTGTAACATGAAGAGTAAATATTTTTCAACACATCAAATATAATATAGTATTAATTAGCACCAGCCAATTTTATTGGCTGTTGATTTTTGACTTGGTTAAAAATTAACAGCACGTTTTGGCTTATAATTAAGTCATTGCAGCATACAACCTACCTCAGGTAATGTAAATTCTTCTATCATATAATTCTCCTTAAAATATAGTCCTGTTTGGTGGCTAGGTAATTTAATTAACATATTTGATTATGTAATTACACACGAAAATGCACGCAGTCGATAAATTAATTTTGTTGTACCAAAAAAAAAGGGTAAATTAATTTTGTACAATGGTGCCAAGTTTTTGTACTTTTTTTCTTCGCCCGCGTGTGTTTGTCACTTTCTTTCTTTTCCCTAAAGGTTTTTTTTAAAAAAAAAAAAAAATTAAATTAATAAATTAATATCTACTTTGAGGAGAATTAAACCTGAAATTAAAAATGTATTACATCAATAACCTTTTTGAATACTAATGACTACCATTGCGTCACATCACAACAGGACAATGGCTTTCTTTCCCCTGAAGTTTTATTGCTTCTTATTTGGAAGAAAAATCAAACCGTTACTGTAGCGGCTTATTTTGAATTTGACTGAGATACATCCATGCTTACGTTCCACTTTGGTTGATACACGTCAATGCTGACATTCAACTTTATATGGGTTTGATAGGTGCTGATGACATGATGGAGAATAACCATTTTAAAATTAAAGTGCTTAGTAATAAAAATATGAGTTTTTTTATTACATGCATTATTAGAAATATTTTTTTATTAATAATATATTAAAATAATAAAAATTAATGTTAATTTTATTAATTATTTAATTAAAATATTTACATGATATAAGTTTTAAAATTAAAATTAATGTTAATTTTTTATTTTTTATGTAAATTAATATATAAAAAATAAATTTAAAACACTAACTTGTGCTTAGACAAACTCTAAAGTTTATTTTATCATATATCTTAAGAGTATAAATTGAGAGTATATTAATTGTACTTTTTTTACAATAAATATAAAAATAACCTTTATTTTTTTTACAAATTAATTATAAAAATCTAATTAATACAATTGTAACATATATTATAAAGGTAAATATTAGACAAATCTTAGTAATAATAATAGAAAAAAAGTATTTATAAACTAATTTTTTAAAAAATTATAAGAAGAACCACAAGTTAAAACTATTAATTTTTTAAAATATTTATTTAAAGGTGACATTTCTTAAATTAAGATTTTAATTTTTATGAAAATTAAGACTTATATATTGTTTTAATATTATGATGATGTATGTAATCTAAGTCAATCCTCATTTAAAACCGCTTGAGGAAAAAGGCATAGAGAATTCCCAGATAAACCGGCACTCTATTTTTCTATTTTCCCATTTCAAATTTCCGGGAAAACATGTGCTCCTCGTTCAGATTCAGAGTACCACTGCACCAGCAATTTTCTGTGGTGTCACAGTGCCTCAAATGTGGATTACAACAGGACACGCGCACATGTGAACACGTCATCCGACTCGAAACCCAAAAAGTCCAGCCCACCTTCCTTCAACCGCCTCCGGCATCGGTCATCCTTCCTCTATAAATGCCCTCGACGAGTCTTTCCCAAGTATTCCCATTCCTAGTAATTGGCCCAACGGAAGGCCGAAATTTCCGAGGCATAGTCTAGTTCTACATTTTTCTTTCAATCACAATTTTACCGAGAAACAAACAGAGTTCGGAAAACTTACCTCTCTTGAAACCTTCGATCAAATGCCGAGGAAAGGAATGAGGAGTCTCTGCTTTCAGTCCCCAAGGACACCGTCGTTCTCAATTTCTCGCAATTCTTTGTCAACTCCTCAACGGAGCTTTTCAGAATCCATGATTGATCAAACCATTGACCGAGCGGATTCGATCATCATGAAATGGAATCCAGACACATCAAGTTACGCCAGAGTTACGTCTCTCTTCTACGAGAACAAAAGAGAGGCGATGCAGTTCTTGAAATGCGTTAACGATTTGCAAAAGGCGATGCATTTGTTAGTCTCTGAGGATTCAGCATCGGAGAAGCTGATTCAAGCGCAAAACCTTATGCAGATTGCGATGAAGAGGCTCCAGAAGGAATTCTACCAGATTCTTTCCATGAATCGGGCTCACTTGGATCCTGAATCAGTGTCCACGCGGTCATCGCGCACCTCGACAAGATCAAGTATATCGGATTATGACGATGAAGGTACGCCAGACGATGATGAGATTCGTGCAGCAGGTGATTCGATCACCGAACTCGAGGAAGTTTCCTCCATTGCCATGGCGGATTTGAAATCAATTGCAGATTGCATGATCTCCTCCGGTTATACCAAAGAATGCATACAAATTTACAAAATCATCCGGAAATCGATTATCGACGAAGGCATTTATCGGCTCGGAGTCGAGCGAATCAGCTCTTCTCAAATTAACAAGA